CTCCAATCTGGGCAACAGAGTTCCAAAACTGCCTGGGCATAGAAGCAATCATGCATTGAATACCCAATCAGGTCCAGGACTGATGGAGGCAATAGTCATCCTTGCTTTAGAGATAAGAGAAATGAGCCTCAGAGGCTCTCTCCCTTTCTCCTGTTGTGGCCCACCTGACCCTCTGTGCTTCAGGAATGCCAAATTGTGCTTTGTTATCTGCAGATACTATGCTGTTTTACATCTCACTGCCTTTTCCTGTGCAGTTCCTACTGCCTGGAACACCGTTCCTTCAGCATCTTCTACAGCATCTATTCTGGGAGTGCTAGGTTAAGTGCCCATCCAACTGTTGGTGAGTATCTCTCAACTAGACTGCAGGCTTCTCGGAGGCAGAATCGTGACTTTGTCACACTGGTCCTGCCACACTTGGCACAGTGCCTGCTGCAGAGTCAGGGTTCTCAAATTATTGGCTGAAGAGAATAAATATATGTACAGACGCCTGTCTTAAGCAGCACAGCTAGCATGAGGCAAAATGGGTTTTGAACCATGGTTGCCCCTCACATAAGGCACCTTTGTGTGCATTAGGAAAAGACTCCCCCTCTGAGTGAGTGCACTGCAAAAAGGCAAGTCTTCTGGGCAGACCAGCTGGGAAAAGGCACTCCTTCCTTGGCTGACGCAGCCAGGTCTCCGGGCTTGGCTGAGCCAGTGAGTAGATTTCAGCCCTGACTCATGCTTCTTGGGCATGATGACCCAGCTCAGGTACAGCCTGTTTGAACTCAAGTCAGCTTGATACTGAAACCCACACTTTTCTTTGCCATGTGAACAAGAGCAATGTGCCCTCAAAACATTTTCAAGCCAAGAGAAAGCTCTGTGTGTGTGTGTGTGTGTGTGTGTCTGTGTGAGAGAGAGAGAGAGAGAGAGAGAGATAGATTGATTTTTGGCAAGAGATTTTTGCTATTTTTGGTAAAATAGCAAAATCCCCAAACAGCTGGTGCCATGTTACTCTGGGCTCAAATCCACATACATAAGTAAGATTCCATACATACATAAGATTCCATACATAAGTGAGATTATGCGGTATTTGTCTTTTTGCATCTGTGTAATTTCATTATAAGTATTATATCCTTAAGGTTCATCCATGTTATTGCAAATGACTGATTTTTTTTTCCTTTTTAAGGCTGAATAGTATTCCTTTGTGTATAAATGCCACATTGTCCTTATCCATTCCTCCCATAATGGACACCTAAATTGCTTCCACATCTTAGCTATTGTGAATATTCTTTTCCCCCAAATCAAGCAGAACAATACTCATCCCTTTGCCTGAGCACAACTAGGTGCCAGAGGCAGTGGGAAGAGAGTATCTGAGAAAGACTGAAGGCTACACGGTCACCAAAGATAAAGAAAAGTCCCTCCTGGGGCAGCAAGCATTTAGTTGAGGGCATGAGGGGAAGGTATGTCTTCAGATGGTGGAGTTCAAGGCTGCAGTGCGCTATGATCATGCCTGTGAATAGCCATGGCACTCCAGCCCAGGAAATATAGTGAGACCATGCCTGACTCTAAAAAATTTGGATTTGAAATCTGAAGGCTGCAGAACTGCAAGTAGAAACTGAGCATGTTTTGCAAACAGCAATAAAGGATTTAGCATGAGGAAGTGAGCCTTGCAAAGCAAGAATAGGGTAGGGGATCCGCAAAAGGGTCAAGTGAAACTGTCTCAGTTTTTGTATCTGTAAAATGGGGATGACACTACCTACCTCACCGAGTCCTCACAGATGAAATTCAATAATATAGGTGAAATGAGTAGCATCTGGCATATGGTAAACATTTACTAAATGGTGATTGCAATTATTTTGATTAGCAGATTGGTGATGACAATGATGATGATGGGAGTGTAGTTGTTGGTGGTGTAATATTTAGGGTAATGAATGTCTGCCACTAAATGTCAAGGTGAGAAGAGCTCTGCTAACCTCTTCTAGAAAGGGAGAAAGAACAAGAGCCTCTCATCCTGCTTTTGTTCCCATCCGCTCCTCTTGTGGCTAATGCAGATAGCGAGCAGAGTTGCTAAAAGCCTTGGCAGAAGAACCACAGGAGGACTGAAATGAGTGGAGAGAAAGCTCTCCAGTCCTTCGGCCCCCCTGCCTGTCACTCCATCTTCCCACTCCTTGGGGCACTCTACATGAGAAGGATAGAGGAGGCAGGAGCATGGGGGTACAGTAGGGGACTTAGCGCTCTTCCTAGGGTGAGATGACAATGGAAGGGAGGGCGAGGGATGAGAAGTTGGGACGGTTGAGATGGATGCCAAAGGGTTGTGGAAACAAAATGTGTCCTCAGGCGTGCTTGAAGCCTATACCACCGATGCCATCCATTTGTACAGAAGATTGTTATTTAGCGTTCCACGAACATTTACTGAGTGCTTATGTACATGTCACTGTGGTAGCTTGGGAATCAGTAGTCACAAAACAGAGATGGTCTCTGTATTTGTGGAGCTGACTTAACTTTTAGCCCAATTTAAATACTTGATTACTTTTTGAACAAAACCAGCCACAGTTACTTAGGCCAAAAACCTTCGGATATCCTTGTCTCTTTTCTTTCTCTCACACTGCTGATCTAATCCACTGGCAAGTCCTATTGGCTCTATCCTCAATATGCACCCCAAATCTGACCGTTTCTCACCACCTCCACCTCTATCACCCCAATACAAGCCACTGCCTTCTCTTGCCTAGACCACTGCTGTAGCTACTCCTCTGCTCAATGCCCTCTGTGGCTCCTTATCTTACTCTGAATTGAAGGCAAAGTCCTTGCAGTGACTCACAATGCAGTCATCATCTCGCCTGATTGCCCCTTTAACCCTATTGTACCATGGTAGCAATAAGAGCTGGAAAAATGAAATGAAATCCACTTCCTGGAAAAGGCAAGGAGGGAAGACAAGCTTCAGTCTCCTTTATCACTAGCAGATTTTCCAGGAAGCACAGTGTGATGGACTCTTACATGGGACCCTGTCTTAAACTGACAAATAGCAAGAACAGTAACGAAGGTCAGAGTATTTTAACGACATCACTAGAAATATGGTTAAAAATTAAAGATAAACCTCATACAGGGAAAAAAATGTTTGCAGTCCCAACAAAAGATCAATATCCAGAATATATAAATAGCTCCTGTAAATCAATAAGAAAAATAATCTCAGTGGAAAAATGGACAAAAGATTTGCAAAGGCAACTCACCTGCCTTTACAAAAATAAAAATAAAAAAGAAATAGTCTCTTGGGGAAAATACTTACAAGCCAAGGATCATTAGAGAAGAGAAGGCATAGGCCCTATTCTATTCTCCTGTTATCACCATGCCGGGAAAAGGGCAGTGTGGGTCTACACTCCAGCAGAGGGAATTCTTCTTATTGTTTTATCTTCATGTAGGTCAACCATGAGTGTAAATTTATCTACGAAGATATACACAAGCTGCTTGAGTGCCGGGGAGGCTGGAGGACAGAGTCCTTTTTGCTGTTATTATGGAAAGTTTCAAATGCATACAAAAGTAGAGAGAAAAGTACAATGAACTCAATGTCCCAGAATACTTTTGGCTTAAACCCTACACTCCTCAAGGAAAGGCTCCCCCACAAGAAATCAGAGGGAAGTCCCACCTTCCCCATGGTGGGCAGGGGTGGGCAAGGGTGGGCTGTGGAGGGGTGAGAGGGTGTTGGGCTGAACATTGAAGAGCAGCAGCATCTGACAGGCTGAATGGAGAAGTGGGAGGATTGCAGCACACTCAGGGCTGACTCCACAGACCATCGCAGTCACAAAGCTGGGGACAATCTGACAATTAGAACTGTTCTTTTTTTTTTTTTAAATTGAGACATACTCTACACAATTCACCGTTTAAAAATATACAATTCAGAAGGTTTTAGTATATTAACAGAAGTGTGTAACCAATGCCATTATCTAATTCAGTACATTTTCATCACCCCAAAAAGAAACTCCACACCCACTAGCAATAACTCCTTATTCTCCTTTTCCCTTACCCCCAGAAACCACTCATCTACTTTCTGTCTCTACAGATTTGCCTATTCTGGATGTTTCATATAAATGGAGTAATACAACACATGACCTCTTGTGACTGGCTTCTTTCACTTAGCAGAATGTTTTCAAGGTCCATCATGTTGTGGCAAGTATCAGTACTTCATCCTCTTTTAATGCTGAATAATATTCTATCATATGGATATACCACCTTTTGTTTATCCATTCATCTACTGATGGACACTTAGGCTTTTTCCATATGTTATCTACTACAAATAATACCACTATGAACATTTGTGTCCAAGTTTTTGTGTGGACACGTTTTAATTTCTCTTGATTATATATCTAGAGGTACTTCTGGGTCGAATGGTAACTTCATGTTTAACTTTTTGAGGAACAGCTAAACTGTTTTCCACAGTGACTGCACCCATTCCCGCAGCAGCATATGGGGCTTTTGATTTCTCCACATCCTCACCAGTATGTGATATCTTCCTGTTAAAGATATTATAGCCATCCTAAGGGGTATGAAGTGGTATCTCATTGTTTTGATTTGCATTTCTCTGATAATTAATGGTGTTGAAAATCTTTTTGCTAGGGAAGCAGGAACCTACGAGAGCCAGAGTGACACCATTTTAAAATCAACTCCATCTTAAAACTAGCATGGCAAATTCCTTGCTAGTCAGAGATGATCAATACAGTCTCAGTCTTCAAGGCGCTCGCTATCTAGAAGATAACAGAGTACGAAGTTTCTCAGCATCTAATCAATAGGTGAAAAATCAATTCTATTCATATTTTTTCAAATGTGCCCAGCAGGTGCAGAGACACTGCCATTGGAACTCACAGAGATGGCCAGGTCAGGCGCCATTTTAATTTTTTCCTTCAGAGCCACGGAGCCTCTACGGCTTCGATCCTTCCTCCGGGCACCAGGGTGCGCTGTACCATCTCTTGGTGTCGGCTGAATAGTGCCGCGCTCTCCCTTACATCCCTTCTTGCTGGGCCGCACTTCCGGTGACTGGCGGAAACGGGAACCTGCAGCCGCGGGGGCCGGAGTCCTGGGGCATGGCGGGGGCGGGGCAGGGGGAGGCGCGCACGGAACAGGCTGGGGCATCCCTCGCCCTGGCTCTTTGAGCCCGGACCAGACAGGTGAGGACTTATCATTTTTGGCCCAGCCTCCAAGCCCGTCAGACCCTCCCCGGCAGGCTCCTCCCTGCATGACGCTGATGCCCAGAGGCGCCACGGCCCCCTCCCTCCCTCAGAATTCTCTTCCCATTGAGGCCCCGCCCCAGGCTTTTCTTTCCGGGGGCGCCCCTTTGGGTTTGTGTGCCCGCCCCTTGGCATCCCCTTCTGGTTTAGAGGCCGTTGCAAGGAATTGAGGGACATGTGCACCTTCCCCCATAGGGAAACTGAGACCCAGCAAGGGTAAAGGACTTAGTACCACACAGTGAGTTTAGTGTCCCAATTCAGTCAGGCTTTCTTCTTTCATTCCATAAGGTACCAAATGCCTACCGTGTGCCAACCCCAGTGCTAGGTTCTGAGAATACCAGATGACCAGGGTAGACCTGGTTACTTCCTGTCTGGAGGGTACAGGTTAGCAAGGGAATCAAACATTAAACACAACCATGCAAGTGGAAGTATAAATACAATTGCGATGATTACTATGGAGAAGACAAAATATAATAATGGGAGGCCTGTTTTAGATAAGATGGTCAGGGAACACTTCCTAAAGGAGACCGCACTTAAGCTGCAACTTGAGAAGTTACAGCAAGGGCCAGGGGAAATGCATTCTCTCTGTGGATGCCTGAGATGGCACAGAACTTCCCGTTAGATAGATCCAGTGTTCAAGAAGGGAGACTTACCATCTGTCAAACACTGTGATGAGCATACAGAATATAGTGTTTGCGTATTGGTCGGTCGAACATCACCATCTAATGAGGGCCGTAAACATAAGTAAGATCTTCATCTCAGGTGCCCAGCTCTGCCTTTGTAGGGCAAAAGCATTATGTAAATGATTGGGTATGGCAGGGTTCCAGTGAAATTTTATTTACAAAAACTGGGAGGTGGGGGTCAGGCGTGGTGGCTTATGCCTGTAATCCTAGCACTTTGGGAGACCAAGGCAGAAGAATCACGTGAGCCAGGGAGGTCCACGGTGGTGCCACTGCACTGCAGCCTGGGCGACAGAGTGAGACCCCAAAAAAAACCAGGAGATGAGAGGTGGGCTAGATTTGGGCCGAGGGCAGTAGTTTGCAGACCCTTGCTCTATTCTAGATCAGCATACATTTTAGGTCCTTATTCAGTGCATGTAACTCCAATATAATTGAAACGAACGTTTTACAAAACAATGCTTGCTATTGCAATATATGATAGCTTGATATTTTCTATTTTCTTGTATTTCATTTTTTAAAATGTCAGACTATTCACTAAATTGATTCAAGGCCCTATTAATGAGGTGTGACTAGCAGTTTGGGAAACTTGCTCAGTCATGGAGATATGTACATTTTTAACTTGACTGGGTATTATATATACTTATATAAGGCATTTGGAACCTTTTCAGAAGGAGACAGAATGTGAATAAATACCTCATTTTATGTTTTGAAATACAGATTGGATGCAATCCCTCCGCTGCTTTCCAGTCTTTTTCTAGGCCTCTCTTATCACTCACTCTGTGCTTCCTGTGCTCTAACCACTTGAAATTGCTCATTTCCCAAATTTGCCATGTCATGCCTTTTAAAAATGTGTCTTTTAGGTACCTTTTTATCTGGCTCGTTCCTTTTTTTTTTTTCTTTGGAGACAGAGTCTTGCTTTGTCACCTAGGCTAGAGTGCAATGGTACAATCTCGGCTCACTGCAACCTCCGCCTCCTGGGTTCAAGCAATTCTTCTGCCTCAGCCTCCTGAGTAGCTGAGGCTACAGGCGCCCGCCATCATGCCCAGCTAATTTTCGTATTTTTAGTGGAGATGGAGTTTCACTATGTTGGCCAGGCTGGTCTCGAACTCCTGACTTGTGACCTCCCCGCCTCAGCCTCCCAAAGTGCTGGGATTACAGGTGTGAGCCAATGCATCTGGCCTGTTTTTCCTCTTTTACTTTGTTTAGTGTATTATTCTTCAAGGCTTATGCCAATTGTTGCTCCATTAATTCATTTTAACATATTTATGAGCACTTAACTGTCCCTTCTCCTAGGTGCTGGGAATACAGCAAGGAATTAGACCAGTTCCCTGCTCTCTGGTATGGGGGGACAGATACTTAAAAGGTAAACAAATAACTTAATTTCAGAAAGAGATAAAGACCATTAATAAAATAGGTGTATCAGTAGATTCGTGTGGGCAGAAGTAAGGTGACTGGGGAATATTTCTGAGGAGGTACTATATTAGCTGAGACTTGAATGATGAAACAGAGTCAGATCTTTCAGCACTTAAAAAATGTTCTTCCACTTCTTTCTGACTTCCTTGGTTTCTGATGAGAAATCTAGACATTTGAATTGTTGTTCCTCTATAGGTGATACATGGTTTCTATCTGGTCACTTTAGAGATTTTTACTGTGTATCTTTTGGTTTTTTTCCATTTTAGCTATGATGTGTCTGGACATGGATTTCTTTGGATTTATCATATTTGGGGGTCGCTAAACTTCCTGAATTTGGGGGGGGTCTCTGAACCTTTTGAATTTAGGATTTATATCTTCAGCCAAATTTGGGAAGTTCCTCCCTTCCTTCCTTCCTTCCTCCCTCCCTCCCTCCCTCCCTTCCTTCTTGTTTTTTTTTTCCCTTCCTTCCTTTCTTTCTTTTCTTTTCTTTCTTTTGACAGAGTTTCACTCCGTTACCCAGCCTGGATTGCAGTGGCATGATCTCAGCTCACTTCAGCCTCTGCCTCCCAGGCTCAAGTGATCCTCCCACCTCAGCCTCCTGAGTATCTGTGACTACAGGTGCACACCACTGTGCCTGGCTACTTTTTGTATTTTTAGTAGAGATGGGGTTTTGCCATGTTGCCCAGGCTCGTCTTCAACTCCTGGGCTCGAGCAATTTGCCCACCTCAGCCTCCCAAAGTTCTAGGATTATGTACTCTCTCGAAAGATGAGGGTTAGACCTTTTGATATTTTCCCTAGGGCCCTGAGGCTTTACTGACTTTTTTTCCGTCTTTTTTTTTTTTTCTGTCTTTTTTTTTTTTTTCTTTCTCGTCTTTTGTTCACTTTGGATAACGTATACTGATCTATCTTCAGGGTGACTGACTCATTTCCGTGATGACTTCATTCTGCCCTTGAGCCCATCAGCGAGTTTTTTATTCTTTTTCAGAATTGTTTTTAAATTAAAAAAAATTTTTTTACTAGATTCTATGGAAGCTAGAAGAGCTTTGTATGCTGGTTATTGCTTTTCAGCTCTAAACTTCTTATCTGGATCTTTAAGAAATATCTTCTGTTTCTTAGCTGAGACTTTGGTTTTCCATCATTTCAAGAGTGTTTGTGATTGCTTATTAGAACAGTTTTATAACAGATACTTCAAAATCTTTCTCAGAGAATTCTAACTTTTGTAGCATCTCAACATTAGTGTCTGTCAATTGTCTTTTCTGGATTGAGTTTTTTCCTAGTACTTCATATGCTGAATTATTTTGGATTGTATCCTAGACATTTTGAATATTATAAGATGATAGGGCCTGTTTAAATCCCAAGAGGAATGTTGGTAATTTTTGGCTTGGTAGGCAGTCTACCTAATTAGCTTCAGGGAATTTGCAATTTGCAACTCCCTTTCTTTAGGCTATGGTTCTAATGGCAGATGAATTTTCAGAAAGTCTTTGCAGTGCTATTTGGATCTGTCCCATGCATGTGACATTCAGTGGCCAGTCTGAGATCTGGGTGGTGATTATTTCAGATCTCAAAGCCTTTAGTCTGATTTGGACCAGATCCACACATGCGCAGCTTGGGAGCTCATGAACAACTTCATGATGTTACTTTTCTGTGCTCCTCCCCCTCTGATATCTCCTCAGTATCTTCTGGTTTCATTGGGGCCTCCCTTTTGATCTTCTGATGACAAAACTGGGACTTTAATTACCTTCCTTGCAACACACTTGCTCTCCAAGCAGCAGGAGAACCGGGGGGAGACAGCGTTAACCTCACTGCCCATTCAGTGGTACTTTATTGTTAGCCAATTAGTTTTTCTCGTATGCCTGTTTTATGCATTCTGTCTAGGTTTTATAGCTGCATTTTTAGTGGGAGAGAAGGTGGTGTTTGCTTATTCCTTGTCTGGCAACAGCTTTATAAGTTGAGTTTTTCACTAAATGCCGTTGACTTTTATGGCCTGAGATTTAACTTTGATTTGAATCAAAGGTATAATAAAACATTTAGAAGACTATGCCATATAATAGATGCCCCATAAATATTAAAGCATATTTTTATTGTGATTTTAAAATAGCATAACATTTACCATCTTAACCGATTGTAAGTGTACAGTTCAGTAGTATTAAGTATCTTCACATTGTTGTGAAATAGATCTTGAGAACTTTTTCATCTTGAAAATCTGAAAAGTCTAACCCATTAAACAGCACCTTTCCTTTTCCCCTCCTGCTAGTCCCTGATAACCACCGTTCTTCTTTGTTTCTGTGAATTTGATTCTTTTTTCTTTTTTTAATGATAAGCATTTTAAATTAAAACAGTTTTTTTTTTTTTTTTAGAAATTGAGTCTTACTCTATTGCCCAAGCTAGACTCAAACTCCTGGGCTCAAGTGGTCCACCTCAGCCTCCCAAGTAGCTGGGATTACAGGTGTGTGCTACTGCACCTGGCTGTTGAATTTGATTACTTTTGATACTTCATTTAAATGGAATCAGACAGTATTTGTCTTTTTGTGATTGGCTTATTTGACTTCACATCATGTCCTCAAGGTTCAATGATGAATTTTGTCAGAATTTTGTACCTTTTGAAGGCTGAATAATATTCCACTGTATGTATATGCCACATTTTGTTTATCTAGTCATCCATCAATGAACTTTTGGATTGCTTCCATCTCTTGACTACTGTGAATAGTGCTGATATGAACATGGGTGTGCAGATATCTCTTAGAAATCTTGCTTTCAGTTATTTTGGATTTATACCCAGAAGTGGAATTGCTGGATCATATGGTAGTTCTAATTTTTTTTGAGGAATCTTCATACTGTTTTCCTTAGTAGCTGTACTATTTTTCAGTTCCACCAACAGTGCACAAGGGTTCAGCTTCCTCTATGTCCTCAACGACACTTGTTATTTTCTTTTTTTAAAAAAAGCAGTCATTCTAATGGGCGTGAGGTGATATCCCATTGTAGTTTTGATTTACATTTCTCTGATGATTAGTGATGTTGAGCATCTATCTTTTCATATACTTTTTGGCCATTTGTATAGGAGAAATGTCTATTCAAGTACTTTGACCATTTTAAAATTTGGTATATGATTTTTTGTTATTGAGTTATAAGAGTTCTTTATATGTTCTAGATATTAACCCTTTATCCAGTATATGATTTGCAAATATTTTCTTCCATCCTGTAGAAAGCCCTTTCACTCTGTTGATTGTGTCCTTTGATTACAGAAGTTTTAAGTTTGATGTATTCCCATTTGTCTGTTTTTGTCTTGGTTGCCTATGCCTTTTGTGTCTTATCTAAGAAATCACTGCCAGGTCTGATGTCATGAAGCTTTCCTCCTGCATTTTCTCCTAGTAGTTTTATAGTTATGGGTCTTATATTTAGGTCCTTGACCTATTTTGGGTTAATTTTTGTATAGGGTGTAAGATAGGGTCCGACTTCATTCTTTTGCATGTGGCTATTCAGTTTTCCCAACACCATTTGCTGAAGTGACTATCCTTTTTCTATTGAGTAGTAGTAGTACCTTATCAAAGATTGTTTAACCATATATGCCAGAGTTTATTTGTGGGCCATTTCATTTGTCTGTGTCTGTCTTTATCCAGTACCACACTTTTTTGATTACTGTGGTTTTGTAATATATTTTGAAATCAGGAGGCTTGAGTCCTCTTTGTTCTTTTTCAAAATTATTTTGTGTATTTGGAGGCCCTTGACATACCATATGAATATTAGGATGAATTTTTTATCTTTGTAAAAAGTGCTATTAGGATTTTGATAGGGTTTATATTGAATCTGTAGATTATTTTGGGTAATATGGACATCTTAACAGCCCAATAAATACTTTTTGCTGGAATGAATACACATTGAATATGATTTTTTTGTTTGTTTGTTTGAGATAGAGTCTCACTCTGTTGCAGTGTTGTGATCATGGCTCATTGCAGCTTCAATGATCCGAGCTTAAGCAGTCCTTCCACTTCAGCCTCTCAAGTAGCTAGAACTACAGGCATGTGCCACCATGCCTGGCTAATTTTTCTATTTTTTTTGTAGAGACGGGGTTTTGCCATGTTTTCCAGGCTGGCCTTGAACTAGTGAGCTCAAGTGATCCACTTGCTTCGGTCTCCCAAAGTGTTGGGATTACAGGCATGAGCCACCGTGCCTAGCCGAATGTGTCTTACACTGTTCAAATTTGCAGTTGTAGGTTTTTTTCTGTTGAACATTCCCAACAGCTGAGCATACTTGGAAGGTATTCCTAGTGAACTAGATCCTTCCCTTAGACCTGTTTCTAGACTTAGAAATGTTAGGACCACTTAAAGGGAAGCAGTAATGCCAGTCACTGTCATCCTGGGAGCTCCTAGGTTCAGGATATAAGAGAAATCTGTTTGACTTGTATATATTTATATTTTGGTAAATTTTGTTTCATTTTCTTGACTTCTGCTTTACTTTTCTGTTTAGAGATGTGATAATGGATCATCATGTTTCTACCATCAGGCCTCGAAGAATCCAAAACCAAAATGTCATTCACCGCTTGGAGCGCCGGCGGATCAGTTCAGGCAAGGCAGGTACCCACTGGCACCAAGTCCGAGTGTTCCATCAGAATGTCTTCCCCAACTTCACAGTTGTCAACGTTGAAAAGCCTCCTTGTTTTTTGCGTAAATTCTCACCTGACGGACGCTACTTTATTGCTTTTTCTTCAGACCAGACATCTCTTGAAATCTATGAGTACCAGGGCTGCCAGGCAGCAGAGGACCTACTGCAGGGATATGAAGGAGAAATCCTGTCCAATGGCAATGACCAGCGGTCAGTGAATATCCGGGGCCGGCTCTTTGAACGCTTTTTTGTCCTTCTGCACATTACCAATGTTGCAGCCAATGGTGAGCACCTGAACCGGGAGTGTAGTCTCTTCACTGATGACTGCCGCTGTGTCATCGTGGGCTCAGCTGCCTACCTCCCGGATGAGCCTCACCCTCCATTTTTTGAGGTATATCGGAACAGTGAATCAGTGACCCCCAACCCACGGTCCCCTCTAGAAGACTATTCCCTCCACATCATTGACCTTCATACTGGCCGCTTATGTGATACACGCACATTCAAGTGTGACAAGGTGGTGTTGTCACACAACCAAGGGCTGTACTTGTACAAAAACATCCTGGCCATCTTGTCTGTGCAACAACAGACCATCCATGTCTTCCAGGTGACTCCTGAAGGCACTTTCATTGATGTGCGGACCATTGGCCGCTTTTGCTATGAGGATGACCTGCTCACTGTGTCAGCTGTTTTCCCTGAGGTACAGCGGGACAGTCAGACAGGCATGGCCAATCCCTTTAGGGATCCTTTCATCAATTCCCTCAAACACCGGTTGCTGGTGTATTTGTGGCGCCGGGCAGAACAGGATGGTAGCGCAATGGCCAAGAGGCGCTTCTTCCAGTATTTTGACCAACTGCGGCAGCTGCGAATGTGGAAAATGCAGCTTCTGGATGAAAACCATCTGTTTATCAAGTACACTAGTGAGGATGTAGTAACACTGCGAGTCACAGATCCATCACAGGTATGAGGTGCACTTCTGCCTTTTACTTGTCCAGTCTCCTTGACAAAATGGGAAGGTTTCTCTGTTTATAGTCCACCCCTCAGAAATAGACATTTCATGTAGTCTGAGTTGATATCCTAGGGCCCAAACTTAAAATCAGCTCCATTTTTCTCTGGTCATATGTATTTATCTGGACAAATGGAAGCTGCAGTTCAAGTCATTGACAGGAAGATAGTCAACTCTGATTACTACCCTAACTCTTCTGCAGAGCATTTTCGGTACTCATGAGATGGAAGCCCAAATGCTACAAGGTCAAGGTTTGGACTACTTATGGATAACCTCTCTTGATTTTGTAAGATTGTACTTATTGGTCTGGCTGTTTTAGTAACGGCAATGAGAATGAGTATACGATACCAAAAAGAAAATTCTCTAACCCCACTTTTGTCCTTAAATGGTTCATAATTTACTTCTCCGTAAAGTCCTATTTATAAGGTAACTAACAGGTGCACTCATTTGGCGGAATTAAGTTCTGTGACTTTACCCTGACCTTGCCCACATGCTGGGACATAGCTTGTAGAGCAGTGAAGAGATCAAAAAGAAGCCAAAATTGATGATCCATGAGGAGAGTCATCAGGACAACAAGTCTTAAAGATTTTTCAGTTTAGGGGAAGAATGCCTTTCTTTCAGTAGGGGGAAGAAGCATTTCCCAAAGGGGAATAAGGTGATATAAAGAGCACAGAACTGCTAAGATTTGGGGGTTGAAACACTATATTGAAATTCAGGGTAATTTGGGCATTTGTCTTTGAAAACCTCTCCACTTCAGTGTTGACCAAGTTAGAGAACTACCTTGCTACACCTTTGTCCCCCAAGTTCTCCTGTTTGCAGATTGTCTCCTTAGACACTGGTTTGGAAATTCAGAACAACCAGCAAATCAGTAAATCACGAAGTCAACTGAGTTTGGTATCTCTTTGTTTTTTTTTTTTTTTGAGACGGAGTCTCACTTTGTCACCCAGGCTGGAGTGCAGTGGCACCATCTCGGCTCACTGCAAGCTCCGCCTCCTGGGTTCACGCCATTCTCCTGCCTCAGCCTCTGAGTAGCTGGGACTACAGACACGCACCACCACGCCCGGCTAATTTTTTGTGTTTTTAGTAGAGACGGGGTTCCACTGTGTTAGCCAGGATGGTCTCGATCTCCTGGCCTCGTGATCCGCCCGCCTCGGCCTCCCAAAGTGCTGGGATTACAGGCGTGAGCCACCGCGCCCAGCTGAGTTTGGTATCTCTTATTGACCTGTAGCTGATTCTACCATTAACAGGGTATGTACAGGGTATCATGTCCTATAATCTCACCAGTTACCTGTGGTAAAATATCTTCTAACATTTTCCTTCTGAATTGTAGTTTATGTGTTCTAAAAAAAAGTACGGGAGTAATATGGTTAGAGATCATTTTTTGTGGAGTTTTTTTCTTCCCTATCAATGATGAAGTCGCCCATTGAGCAATCATAGGTGAGCATCTGGTTCGTCTTATGTATCATGGGATATTGCAGTGAAGTCCTTGACTTCTCTATCCTCCTGTTCTTTACTTCCCAGTCTGCCTTGGAGGGAAGGCTAGTAAATGTTTGAGTAATTTTATATCCATGTAATTATGAGAGATTCTGGTGAAGCCCTGATAGGATCAAAGTGTTGTCCAGGGCTATAGAAAGGACATGAATCAATCTTTATTTAGGTTTGAGCTATAATTGCCTTTTTATTTTGGAGGTAGTAAGTTGTCTGTGACTGCTGCCTTTGAGATTATTCTTTTCTTCTTTGCTAAAAGGTGGCCTAGTTTTTTCTGGTAGCTACAATAAGTTGTAGCTAGCGACATAACTAGGGCTCTATGCTTTGCTTATACAGTTTGTAACTCTAAACCCAATCTTTCTGCCCTAGTTGTCCTCTGCACTCCTCCCCCAGTTTAATTTGATAGGTTCCAGTAAGATTAATAAGTAAAAAGTACATCCAAACACAAGGCCTTGGTAATATTATGAGTATTATTCTCAGGTTACCCTCTAGCCTCTTTAATTTACAGCCAAATTTAATTTGCAGGTGACTGCAAAAGCCATGTAATATAAGCTCTGAGAAACACTAATTACTAGTAAAACAGGTGGGTCGAGTGGCTCCAGAAATTGGTAATTGAGATTTAAACTCAATCATAGGAGGCTGAATTACTAATCCTAGTGGTCTGAGAACTTCTAGAGTCCTGTCAGAAGTAGATGATTCACACTGCTACATTCACTGTAACAAAAATTAGGGGTTCTTGGAACTTCCTTGTTAGGCAGAGCACAGCACTGGAAGTTTAAAGGAAGAGGGCTAGCCACCGAGGGCCCATTTAGAAAAAGCAGTAACTCTGTCACCTATGGCATTTGAATGCTTTTCAGGTTCCCCCTCTGATCTTAATTGCTACAAATCTCAAATGTATTTTACAAATGCTCTTGGCTGAAAGAACATTTATGAAGAAAAAAGTGGAAAATGCCTATCTGATTTTTCATTTGTTCAGCAGTACCTTGCTCGTATACAACTTGCCTGGGCAGTTTAGAACAAGATGTACTTAAGATGTCTCTCTGCATGTTAGAAATATTAAGAGGGAAAAATAAATACCCCTAAATTGAACTTTCAACTGTACACATACGAGAGAAAATAATTTGCCAACAGGCAGCCCCAGGCTGCAAATCACTTTCTCAGCAGGAAAGAAAATTAAATCTGGCATTTTAAGAAGTGCTTTTTATCTCAGGGTGGGTTGGGGAGCAAGTAGGGAATAAACATTTGGAAGGAAAAATACTGAATTTGCACAGTTTGAAATGAAAATTTAAAACCTTTTTATACTTGTATGCTGGCCATCTCAGTAATTCTAGCAGCACAGATACAGTGGGAAATCTGGCAACATTGAGGCTCTCAATTGATAAATCCCACGGTTGCTTCCTATTTTCCCAGAACCACTTGGAGCCATGTTTCCACCTCAGTGGTAAAGCTGAGGTGTTTGCTTGTTGTTGTTGTTGTTGTTTTTGGAAAATTCATGCTTTGAATTTTCAGCCAAGTGATAAGTTTCCTAGGCATGGCATTATACTCAGCTGTCCTATACCTCTCTCTCTTTTCTTCTGCAGGCATCTTTCTTTGTGGTATACAATATGGTGACAACAGAGGTGATTGCTGTGTTTGAGAATACGTCAGATGAGCTTTTGGAGCTCTTTGAGAACTTCTGTGACCTTTTTCGTAATGCTACCCTGCACAGTGAAGTCCAGTTTCCCTGCTCAGCTTCTAGCAACAATTTTGCAAGGCAGATCCAGCGCCGGTAAGCTGCTGTACCAGACTCAACAGTCTTAATTTTTTTTAGAAAAATTGGTGTTAGGCCAACAGCTATTGTTTCTAGGAAACCGTCTCTTATTCTGTCTGTCCACATAGCTTTGGTTAGTCTGCCTATTATAACCCCTTGTTTCTTCCTGAACTTCTTTCTATCTCAGCACCTGTGGAATTATTTGTGCATTGTCTGCGATTCTTTCTAGACTGCATGTGAGCTGCAGAAAGATAGAGGCTGTGTCTTCATTTATTGCTGTATCCTCAGTGGTACACTGTCAAGCACTTATGTTTGTTGAATTAATAAGGAAATAATTTTAGAACTTTTGGTTAAACATGATATGTTGAACACATGTATTTATCTTTGCTCCATCCCTAAGTCCCACTAAAATGACAATAAAGGAAGGTATAAACCTGTAAGAACAAAGAGAATAGGAGAGGAGACGATGGGAGATAGGACATATTAACAAAGTTTTAAAAGCTGAAAAGCCAGGGAATGAATGAGAACTGACTTAGCATACCTCAGAGAGCAGAAACTCAAGGCTGCAGAGCTTAGTCATCAAGAAACAAGCTGCCTTACACCAGAGAACTCAGGAAAGGGTCAGGAAGTTGGAGGTCCCAGGTGCCTCTAAGTACTTCCAAAGGTATCTGTGAGGTAGGCTGAAATGAGGAGGATTGGTAAAGTTCTTAAAAGGAGCAGTGAGACCCTCTAGATCCCTTTTCTAAGTCTACATAGCTAAGTGACTATCTCTTCTACCTCTGCAGAAGGCTGGAAGTTTATTCTCTGAACAGATTGAACCAGATGGGCTCTGGTCTCAGGTTTATGAGGTATATTTAAAAGTAGGGATGAGACATGTTATACTAAAAACAGGAATTAGGTGAAAGTTGACATACGGAAGGGTAAGAGCCCTACCCCCCTTCCCAGATATGGCATCCACGCTTGTACCCTCCAGGCAGGAGATTAGAGATTCTTCCCTAGGAAAACTGACCAACACAAAGAGGAGACTTACAGATATTGACACCTGGAATGCCTTTACAAATCACTTAGGCCACCCTAAATATATACCCCCCAGTCAGCAAGGCCCTCCTATGAACCAGAGTTTCTAATAATTGCCGTAGTGCATTATTATGAAACAAATGGTTCCTTTGGGCCAAGGGCCTAAACTAAATCCTACTTTAGTTAGTGCCTCATCATATTTCACATACTTAAATTGTTTCCCTTACTTTAGGCAGTAATGGAAAAATACCTGTTCTGGGTCCAAAGATGGATCAGACCACAGTGAGTGGATGAATCAGAATAAGCATTACTGCCACTGGGAAAAACAAATATGTTAATGCAGTGGCATCATATTTATATAAAGAGATAGTACTCGATTATAGATAGATGGCTACTGAGTTCAGACAACTGTCTTGCGTTTTCCTTTTTCTTTGGTTCACACAAATCTTCTGCCTTAGTATCTGTTCAGTATAGAAGAATTTTTATATGCAGAACATGAGTCAGATTTTGCTTTTTTCATTTTGGGATGAATTTTCTTTTAAAATTTGCTTCAAAATTAAGCAGATAATTGACAAGTAACAGTCTGAGCGTGGTGGCTCATGCCTGTAATCCCAACACTTTGGGAGGCCAAGGCAGGTGGATCGCTTGAGCCCAAGTTTCAAGACCAGCCTAGGCAACATGGCAAAACCCTGTCTTTACAAAAAATGCAAAAAAAAAAAAAAAAAAAAAAAAAACCGAGTGTGGTGGCGCATGCCTGTAGTCCCAGCTACTAGGGAGGCTGAGGTGGGAGGATTACTTGAGCCTGGGAGGCAAAGGTTGCAATGAGCCATGAGTGCGCCACTGCACTCCAGCCTGGGTGACAGAGCAAGACCCTGCCTCAAAAGCAATAAAACAAAAACAACAAAAGATGGGTGCACTCAGTCAAGACATCAAAGAAGTCACTAGATGATAAGCTCCATGAGGGCAGGGATTTTGTCTATTATGTCCACTGCCGTATCCACAACACCAAGGCCAGTGTCTGCCCTGTAGGAGGAGCTCAGTAGGTATTTGCTGAATGAATGAAGTTATCCAGAAATTAGAAGAAATTGTTTTCCAAAAATTATTTCAGAATACATCTGGAATTAAACAAAATTACAGAAAGCTCCAGAAAAAACTGAGGGGACAGGTTGTATATTCTAGCTCAGTGATCTTAAGAATTTTACTTTACCACCAAAAGATTTTGAAAAATTGGGGTACCCTCACATATTTTTAAGTTGATTTTTAAATTTTTTTTTCTGTTACTACTAAATTTAATAGTTGTAGAGGATGATATTTTCAGTGTATATTAAACATTGACATTTGAAATAACACTTTAAAATATAACAAAAGGATGCTAATTACCATAGTAATTTGGTATTCAAGTATTTTATATGAAAAATTCATGGCAAATTATACCCATAACTGGGAATTTTACATTGCTTCTTCTGATTCTCAAATTTGTATGTCTATTCTATGTCCCCAACACAATTGTATGCTAACATATTTTGTTGACCACTAATCGTACTTTGCTACATTGAAAATACAATGTATATATAAATTGAAATTTTTTTTTTTACTTCTTGTGAACACATGGTTCTAAATGCTAAATTTTATAGTAATCTTTTCCCAGTAATCTTTTGGTAAAAATCAATGAAATTGGGACCCTTATAGGTCAAAATAAATGTTTAAGAATAAAAATAGACACCAAGGATCATGAGTCATTTAAGGAAAGCCTTTATCCTAAAAGAGACCAACACAAAACAAACAGAATAAAGAATAAAGAGTAAGGAAACAGGCCTGGCATGGTGGCTTATGCCTTTAATCCTAGCACTGTGGGAGGTTGGCGTGGACTGATTGCTTGAGCTCAGGAGTTCAAGACCAGCCTGGGGAACATGACTGGTCTCCCAAAAAGCAAAAAAATTAGCTGAGTTTGGTGGCATGCACCTGTCATCCCAGCTACTTGGAGGGGCTGAGGCAGGAAGATTGCTTGAACCTGGGAGGCAGAGGTTGCAGTGAACCGAGATCAAGCTACTGCATTCCACAGTGGGTGACAAAGTAAGACCCTATCTCAAAAAAAAAAAAAAAAAAAGAAAACAATGTTACATTCACTGAAACAATTTAAAGTATAAAAACAGGAACATTCCAGCTGGGCAGGGTGGCTCACGCCTGTAATCCCAGTACTTTGGGAGGCCGAGGCAGGCGGGTCATGAGGTCAGGAGATCGAGACCATCCTGGCTAACACGGTGAAACCCTGTCTCTACTAAAAGAAAAAAATACAAAAAAATTTAGCCAGGCATGATGGCAGGCACCTGTAGTCCCAGCTACTTGGGAGGCTGAGGCGGGAGAATGGCGTGAACCCAGGAGGCGGAGCTTGCAGTGAGCCGAGTTTGCGCCACTGCACCCCAGCCTGGGCAACAGAGTGAGACTCCGTCTCAAAAACAAACGAACAAACCAAACAAAAACGGGAACATTCCTAGAACAATGAGAAACTTTTGGAAATTTAAAATTTGTTAGATGTAGTGGAGGAACTCTCCAAGAAAGTAGAGTAAATTGATAAGAGAAGGGACATAGAAGAGAAACATTAAAAAAAAAAACCAGAGTATCTGCCTAGGAGGTCAAATATCTGGCTAATTCCTGAAGGAGCAGTGGAGAACCTAAAGTGGAGAGATAATGGGATAGTTTCCCAGGACTGAAGAACATAAATTTTTAGATTGGCAGGACCATCCAGTGCTGGAGCTGGCTTGTACTGGCTCATGAGATCTGACTGTTAAACTTTCAGGAATTTTTGCAAGCTGATTGTTAAACAAAGTCGTTATTAAAAATTATTTCCAAATTATTTCCTATTTTACTGTTACTTAGGCTCTCGTGGTTTTTGTATCTATTTTATCTATATGGTATAAATACTATATAATAAGGTGCTACTGCTTTTCTCTTGGCAACTGCACATTGAGTAATGTCACATTGGTACCTTGGCAGGAAGATTTACACCACAGAAATCAGCAAGCACTACAAATCATGGCTTTTTTCCCCTGAGAAAAATTAAACCTTTATCAGTGCACCACTGGATTCATCTAGTATCCAGTATAGTCAATGAAAAAGACCCACACCGAGAGGCATATCATCATGAAATTTTGGAACATTGGGGATGAAGAGAACACTGTGAAAACTTTGAGAAAAAACATACATTTCACGTGTAAAAACAATGTCGTCATAATGACATCAGACTTATCAATAATACCGAAAGCTTGAAGTCATTAAAATCATGCCCTCAGAAGTCTATGAAAAGGGTGATTTGCAATTTAGAATTCTGTCTTTTTTTTTTTTTTTTTCCTTTTTGTGGAGAATGGGATCTCGCTATGTTACCCAGGCAGGTCTCGAACTCCTGGGCTCAGGCTATCCTCCCGCCTCTGCCTCCCTGAGAGCTGGGATTATAGGTGTGAGCCACTACGCCCGGCCACAATTTAGAATTCTATATCCAAATAATAGAGTGGAATGGAGACATTTTGAAACCTGTGAAGTCTGAAAAGATTACCTCTCATGTACCTTTTCTAAGGAAGCCTATGGAGATGTACTTCAATAGACCACAAAAGAATGGTATGTAGGAAATAGTCTGACACTGGAGAGAGGCAAAGAGAGTCCTGAGGATAATGATAAAGGGAATTTGCAGAATGACTGTCCACCTGTCAGACCATTTGGAAGCACGAGAGTGGAGGAGTCTAAGAAGAATGTGTCCAAGGAAAAAAAAAATTGTTAGAATACTGGTAAGTTTGAGTATATTAAGAAGAGATTGTCAGTTTTCCTAGTAGAGTTGTCGGCATAGGCTTCACTGAGAAGGTGGTGGTTGAGAAAGCTTTTGAAGGAAGTCAGGGGGCTTCCTTCATGTGGATAGCAGGCAGAAGAATATACCCAGCAAAAGGAATAGCATATCTAAAGGCCCTGAGGTGGATCTGATGCATTTGAGGGACAGCAAGAAGGCCAGGGTGGCTGGACTGGAATGAGCAAGGGGCAGAGTAGTTGGAAATAGGGTCAGAGACCTGATTTGGGGTGGGGAGGTAGGCAGATACATAGGGCCATTCTATAGTCTTGGCTTTAACTATAGATGAGGTAGATTGTGTCATGTTTGAGCAGAGGAATGACATAGTCTCACTTACGTTTTAACAGAGTCACTCTGGCTGTTCTGTTAAGATTAGAATGTAGGCAGATAGGGTGGCAGCAGGGATACCAGTTAAGAGACTGTTACAGTGATCCAGTAAGTATAACTATGGCATTCTGTTTCCTGCCACTAGGATTTAAGTTCTTTACTGTCCACTAATGTATCCTAAGCACCTAGAAGAGTGTCTGGCACATACCAAGTCCTCTGTGATTATTTGTTGTTTAATGGTGGTGGCTTGGATCAGGGTGGTAGCATTGGGAATAGTAAGTAATTATATTCTCAATGTATTTTGAAGGTTAGAGCCCAGTGGATTAATGGAGGATGGTCTATGGGCTATGAAAGAACAAAGTCAAAGATAATTCTAACATTTTTGGATTGAACAACTTGCAAGAGAGAGTTGCCATTAAACTGTAAACCTGTGGGTAGAGCAGGTTTAGGGGAGAGGATCAAAAGTTCTGTAAGTGGAGGTGTCTCATAGTTTCTCAAAGGAGTGTTAGCTGTGTCACAGCCACCTGACAATTTTCAGTACAATAGGGACTGAAAATTAACTTATTGGAGTTAGCAGCATCGAGGTCATTGGGAACCTTGACAAGAGTAGGTTTGAGTAAGATGGTAGGGGTGAAAGCCTCTTCAGGGTGGGTTTAAGAAAGAATGGGAGGAGAAAAGTTGGACAGTATGGAAAAGTGTTTTGAGGAGTTTTATTACAATGGGAGCTGAAAAGTGGTGCATTAGCTGGAGAGGTAGGTGGTGTTAGATTTTGTTTTTGTTATTTTTTAGATGAGGGAAAAATGGCATGTTTGCATACAGATGGGACTGATCCTGTAGAGAAGGGGAAACAGTTTAGGAAAGTGGAAGAACTGCTTAAGTGTATGAGAGGGGCTGGGTTCTAGTGCACTGGCAGATGGATTTGCCTTGCATGGGAGCACAGAAAGTTATATATGTACAAATGTTGGGTAGATGTGCTGATGGGAGCTTTAAAAAAGTTATCTTCTGCTAACTTCCATTTGTCAGTAACAAAGTAAGTGATGCCATTAGCTAAGAGTCAGCATGGAAGAGGGGAGACGAAATAGTCATGGAAGAGCGTGGGAGTCTGGAAGGACTATGGAAATGTAAGACGAGTGCCCTGCAGCATTAAGAGCCTACATAAAGTTCGTGGCCATAAGTTTAAAGTGAGCATTGTATGTTTTTCTACAGCCATGGAGAAAACCAAGTAGTACAGGCAAGGAATAGGCAAAGTTGAGCTTAACTGGAGGTTGTAGTTTTTCTAAGGAAGTACCATAAGAAAATTTAAGATTGTTGAGGATGTGTGCAATGGATGATTTAGTGATTTCATCTTATGTGGAAGGAAGGAAGAGAGGATATGATGAGAGTGTAGGATGGCAAGAAGTTGATATAATCAGTGGATTATAGGTCCTGTAGTGGTTGAAGGATTGCTGAGGTTGGGACGAATAGAGGGAGTGAGCCAGGAAGATGGGAGAAAAGATGGTTGGAGAGCATGACGGTCTACCCTGTGACTAGAGAGGGTTTGCAGTCGTAATGGTGAAGTTGAGGTAATGGTGAAGTTGAGGGTGTGACTGTGGAATAAGCAGTTGAGGTTGAGAGGAGGTCAAGGAACTAGTAGGAGGCTATGGTGCTGTGAAGAACATCTCTGAGGATTTTGAAATTACCGAGAATTAAGAGAGGTATGGTGGGACAGAGTGACGCTGAGGCAGGAGCTAAAGTGTGAAGACATCAAAGGGAGTGACTGCTTTTAATCAGCGGGGAGCACGGAGAGTGGAGGTGGTAGGTGCTGCAGAGGAAGAGGAACTGCTTCAACCTGTAGATTATCACAGATGCTTTGATTTGTGGTCATCACAAAGCTGTGAACCAGCCCCCATCATTTTACCTTTGAAAGCCAGCGAGTCAGTGAGTCAGGCAGGGCTAAGGTGTAGATGAGATGGTGCCAGATCTTTGCTGAAAACCAGAGTGCCCAGGATCTTTTATTTCAGCTCAAATGAAAGGGAAAAAATAAGCTCTATTTGGCCCAAGATTTATTTTTATGATTTATACTGAGGCTGTGAAAATTACTGTCAGGAGGAGTAATGGAAAAGCAGTGTTGCTTGCTAGGCTTTCTTTAGGGGGAGCGGAAAAGTGTTCATGTCCATCTAATACCGTAGGTTAATAGTGAAAATAAAAATTACCCTCAACTAATTAATCTTTCTAGTCTCATGAAAGTTAGGAACGCTGAAGTTTTTTTATTCCATTTGTTTCAGGGATGAGATATTATACTTTTCTCCCAGACTAAAAAAAATTTATATCCCCTTGATTGTTGAACCGTATGATATGCTTGAATATAGAGGTTTAAAATATATATATACTGATAGACAGTTGACATTCTTTCTACGAAGGTGTAGGAAAGTGAAAAATAGGGAAAAACTTCAAAATGTCATTATACGACTATTAACATTTTAATGTGTTTCTGCCAGTCTTCGCTTTAAGTGTGAGTTTTTGTTTTCTTTGTGTTTTTAGCCATATTACATAGACAGTATTGTATCCTACTTCTTTTATTTACAGATGTGATAAACATTTCCCGTTACCATATAATCTTTGAAAATGGTAGTTTTCCATTAGCTTTTTATTTTTTCTTCCTCTATAAACAATGCTGTATGAATGTGCACAGAGATTTTTCTGCATGTAGGAGTGATTCCTTAGGGCAGATTTCCAGAAGAATAGAAGTACTTGTCAAAGAGTATTAAATTTAGTTTTGTGGCCAGGCACCGTGGCACACGCTTGTAATCCCAGCACTTTGGAAGGCTGAGGCGGGTGGATCGCTTGAGGCCAGGAGTTGAAGACCAATCTGGGCAACATGGCGAGACCCTGTCTCTACAAAAAAAAAAAGTTAGCTGGGTGTGGTGGCACGCACCTGTGTTCCTGGCTACTTGGGAAGCTGAAGTGGGAGGATTGCTTGAGCCCAGGAGAGGTGGAGGTAGCAGTGAGCTGAGGTTGTGCTACTGCCCTCCAGCCTGGGCAGCACAGCCAGAACCTGTCTCTAAAAAAAATAAAATAAAACTTAGCATTTGTTACAGTCATGAGAAATAACTGCTTTGTCATTATTTTCAAAGATAAGTGAGATATATGACTCTGTCTGTTACTGTTCTTCTAGATACTGGTGTTTCTGCAGGAGTATAAGTAGCTAGTTTCCAAATTTTATTTAAACAAACAAAGAATGGGTAATTTATTTGTGAAAGGCTTGCTGGAAGTGGGTGATCCCAAGAAGAGTCAAAGGCTGCTTCTGTTCTCTATAACTCCTTCCTAATTCAGTCTAAGGCAATTGGTTGAGCTGTTATTAGAAAAGAGTAGAAATAGTTGTCATAAACTAGTTATACTCATTTCAAACTTGTTTGTAGAGTCTTTGTTAACTTCTAAAGTAGGGCCGGGTGTGGTGGCTCATGTCTGTAATCCTAGCATTTTAGGAGGCTAAGGCGGGCAGATCAGTTGAACCCAGGAGTTCAAGGCCAGCCTGAGCAACATAGCGAAATTCCATCTCTATAAAAAATACAAAAAGTAGCTGGGCGTGGTGGCATGTCCCTGTAGTCCCACCTACTCTGGGGGCTGAGGTGGGAGGAACGCTTCAGCCGGGGAGGTCAAGGCTGCAGTGAGCTGAGATCACACCACTGTACTCCCGCCTGGGCAACAAAGCGAGACCCTGTCTCAAAATAAAAAAAACCCAAAACCCAAACACATTTCTAAAGTAATTTGTTGTTTTCCATTTTTAGTTATATGTTTTGCTTTTTAAAAGTATTTGTAGCTGACCAGACTTGTAATTTGTGAGAGAGAGTTCTGTCTTAATTCATTACCTAGGTTTTAATTTGTATTTAAAGAATGAGTTGTTCTTAGATATATATTTGTCAATTTAAAATCCAAGACAGCTTGGTGTACTCACTAACAAAACCTTCCTCACCGGCCCTTTTGTTTAGGTTCAAAGACACTATTATAAATGCCAAGTATGGAGGGCACACAGAGGCGGTACGCCGGCTGCTGGGTCAGCTCCCCATCAGTGCTCAGTCTTACAGTGGTAGCCCCTATCTGGATTTGTCTCTCTTCAGTTATGATGACAAGTGGGTATCTGTCATGGAGCGGCCCAAGACTTGTGGAGATCACCCAATCAGGTACAGTGTCACTGCTATAGCTACAAACTGCTCAAGGGCTGAAGATGGCCTGCTTTCTTTTCTCTCCTTCTGGACATCATTTGATTGTGACTGTCTCCACTCGTACTCATGGGTAAGGTTGAAAGGCAGGCTATTTCTATAATGCGGTGAGTGCTATGATCATTTAGGTACTAGTCTCATAAATTATTCCTACTCTTTGCTTCTCATCAGAACATCTAATTCAGGTAAGTGTTGTCCTCTTTTAAAGGTATCCAGGGTAGGAAGCTGTACTTTCCCATTTAATAATCTAATACGATTCCATAATAGTTTTTGTCGTTGAGACTTTATAATTATGTATCTAACACAGATTTTATCCTGCCATGTTACCTAATAGAAAAAATAGCAGAGACAATTTGGGGAACTGCTGACAGATTTAGAAGAAACTCATGCTTCCTCATTTGGAGGAAGTTTGGAATGTAGACTGCTGTGTTATTGTAGAACTTTGAAACTGACGTCTTACAAGAAATTCTTTCCTCACAGAAGTCTAGTTCACAGACCCATCTGTCTCTCCATACATGGAGCCTGTTCTGTGTGCTGTAATAGTATTAGCGGGAGGAGCTGGAATTACTGTCACTAGTGGAGTTACCTCAAGGTGGGTGTGTTCCTGGAGCTCTAGGCTGGAGCTTGGAAGGTCTTTTTCACATAGAAACAGTGGTAGTTGGATCTTTATGATAGATATGTTTCATCATCCAGCCTCCTTGTGTATTAAATGGGCCTGTGTGACATATTCTGTATAATTAATCACCATTTATAATACTTCCTTTGGGAAATTAGAGTCAAGTTCCAAAAACTAGTTAATATTTTTATTTATGGAAAGTTGTATATGGAAAAACATACAAAAAGTAGAAGAGCGTAATAAACCTTCATGTACTCATCACCCACTTGAACAGTTACCAGCTCGTGACTGCTCCTGTCTCACCTATTTCCATCACCACCACTGCTCCCTCCCCTTCCCACCACTGTCTGAGGTTATTTTTAAAGGAAATCCAAGTTATCCTAGCAAAACAAATAACACTATTACCCCATCTTTAAAAAATTAACAAAAAATCTTTAATATCTTCAAACATCTAGTCAGTTTTTATATATCCCTGTTGTCTTACAGATATTCTTTTTATGGTTAATTTGTTTGCATCAGATCCATACAAGGTTCATGCATTGCATTTGGTCCCTTCAGTCTTTTTTTTTTTTTTTTTTTTGAGACGGAGTCTCTGTCTGTTGCCCAGGCTGGAGTGCACGATTTCAACTCACTGCAACCTCTGCCTCCCAGGATCAAGCAGTTCTGCTGCCTCAGCCTCCCAAGTAGCTGGAATTACAGGCGCCTGCCACCACACCTGGCTAATTTTTGTATTTTTGTAGAGGTGGGGTTTCACCATGTTGGCCAGGCTGGCCTCAAATGATCCACCCACCTCAGCCTCCCAAAGTGCTGGGATTACAGGCGTGAGCCACTGTGCCTGGCCCAGTCATTTTTATTCTGTAGGTTGTTCTTCCCCCTTTTATTTTCTTTGCAATGAAATTATTGAGGAAATTAGGTTGTTTTTCCTCTAGTGTTCTCCAAATTCTAGATTTTGCTCGTTGCATCCCTGGGATAGTATTTACTATATTTCTTATTTACCCATATGTCCTGTAAAGTGGGAGTGAGATTTAGAAACTCAAACAACCCACTTTAAATTACAATCCCTTTGTGTTTGGGGATTTTGGGAGTAGGGCTGTGTGTTTTTTACACATAAAAAAGATGGGCCTCATCTAATACGAGTCAAATACCATGAGATACATTTCTCTCTCCTTTCTGACTTTCCTACTTTTCTAATTGGAGAAGATGAATCTAAAATTTGGAAATGCTATTGCTCCTGAATGAAGGGGTTTCTCTTATAATTCTTTATATTTTTAATTTAAAATGAGAAATATAAGGATATTAAGGGCATTTGAAGACAGAATACCATTCCTCCAATGTCTTTACTATATAATCCAGTCTAGTCTTTGTCAGTGTGCATATTTACATTTACACATTTGTAATCACAGCATCATTTTTTGTAGTCTGTTTTTATTTTATAAACATTGTTTCATGTTGTTATTATACATAGTCCTCACAATTATAGTCCTAATGATGGTGTATTCTATCAAATAGACATACCATGATTTATTTAACCTTTCCCCCATCACTGAGCATGTATTCTCTTTCTATATTTTTACATTAAAACAAATGCCATAGCAGTCATCTTTATTCATGTACTAGTTACTTCATTTAAATCAAATTCTGAGGATATAAATTCTTGGATATGGGATTATTGAGTCAAAAGGTATAAATATCTTTAGGTCTGCTTATATATTGCATTTCCAAAAGGAGATTATAGGACTCTTTAATTCAGGGCTTTTTATTTTCTAGAATCCTCCCTGCCACCCCACCCCCACCTGCCTCAGCCATTCAGCCTCCACTCACTAATCATCAGTAGTTCTCCAAACCATAGGGCATTTATTTTCCATATGGTAAAGGCATTTAAATACTAGGATGGATGGAAGCATCTTTAGTCTCACATATTAGATGAAAAATTAAACACTACTTAGTATTTTGTTTCTGAGCATGAAAAAGAAGAACCTTTTAAAAGAATTTATTCTTAAATATGAAAAACTCAAAGGTGAGCCTAGATCCACACTGTCCAATATGGTAGCCACTAGCCACATGTGGCTATTGAGCACTTAAAATGTGGCTAGTTCAAGTTGAGATGTGCTCAAGTGTCAAATACACACCAGATTTCCAAAAAAAAAAAAAGCGAACTATCTCACTAATAGTTTGATATTGATTATAGGTTGAAATTACAATATTTTGGATATATTAGAGTAAATAAAATGTATTATTTAAATTTCCTCTTTTTATTTTTATTTTTTTCAGTATGGCTACCTGAAAATTTAAAATTACACACGTGGCTTTCATTTCATTTTTAGCCCTGGCCTAGACAATCTTGAGGCAGGAGCATCTGTAAGCAGAGAGGCTATAATTAAGACTGTAAAACTGAGTCATCTCAGGAAAAAGAAATGACCAGTGACTCACTGCAACATAGTAAAATTTATAATCACTCTTCACTAAATGAGCTGATCATACCAAGGTGATTTTATAGTTCTGATAACCTGGGGCTGATATAAGAGGAGATTTCATGAATAAGGTAAAATAATGAGTTGTCACATTCCCCTGCTGTCTAGATTTCTGTTTGATGGTGAATATCAATACTTCCCCTCTTTCTCTGTCTCTGTCCTTGTTTTTAGGTTCTATGCCCGGGACTCAGGCCTGCTCAAGTTTGAGATCCAGGCGGGGTTATTGGGCCGCCCCATCAACCACACAGTGCGACGCCTTGTTGCCTTCACCTTTCACCCTTTTGAGCCTTTTGCTATTTCTGTGCAGAGGACTAATGCTGAGTATGTCGTCAACTTCCATATGCGACACTGCTGCACGTAGGTGCCTCACCAGAGCCAAGTTATCTGGTCTTCCAAGACTTTGCCACCCACTTATCTCAGTGGACTCCAAAGCAAAAACTCCTGACTACTAGCTCTGTTAGTTCCAGCCTGCTATACCTCAGATGGGAGAGAGCCAGAGAGAAGAGTGAGGGTGGCTCAACCTAAAGGAATTTTTAAATTATATACAATACTGCTACTGATTGATATAATATCCTCTTACATTTTCCCTGTGGGAATGCCCAGCATTAAGTAAGTCCATTTCATTTTTGCTTTACTTTGCATTTGATTGTTGTGAAGATGAAAGCATTAGACTTTTACCCCCTTCGTGTCACTTCTTTGGCATTATGGTTTGCATCTGAAAGCAGTTAAATCTTGTTTACTCATGAGAACGATGTACATCCTTTCCATTTAACCCATAAGCACGGCTATCTTTTTAAGAGAAAAATAAAGCCATGGTATTTTCATACTTAAATATATATGCTTCGATGACTGCTTTATGTTCCTATCATACCCAATGCTTTTCAAGTACTTGGGTTCCAGGAAGGACTGTAAAAGAGATGGGAGGCCATAGATGCAGCAGCTGTTCCTGGGCGAACTAAGTAGTAAGCGCCAGCAGGGAAGACAGTTATCTGCCAGGATTGTTTCCTTCCCTCGGGTTTTCTCTTAGTAATTGTCACAGCTGGAGGAACTGGGTGTAATTGCACATCCTCATGTGGAAGCATGCTCCCATCTGTACCATCTGTGTCATGCAGGTGGAAGAGTGAGCAGCTCTCCTTGGCCATGGCAGAAACAAATACTGTGTAGCACGTACTGTAATTTGGGTAGTGGGAGCTGGCAAGCCGCAGGTGTCCCTACAGAGACCAGACTGGCTGTTCCTGGATGGCTGAGCCATCACAGCCATCCCACAAACACCTGGTGACCCTAGCCACATCCTCTGTCACATTCTCAACTTTTGCCAGCCTGTTTATGTTTCATCTGCATAATGTATCCATCAGTAGTATAGTAGGCTTGTTTAGTAACATCTGACTTTGAAGGTAGCTTTGAAATGTTGGGTTCCAGAGCAGACTGTGAAAGGGCCATGGATGCAAAGAGCTGAACCCTGTATTTCCTCTGCCATTCAGACTGACTTTCTTTGGGAAAATAAGAAATGTGATATGAAATCCTGAGTCCCACCAAAAACAGTTCATCTAATTTCAGTGTGATCAAAATGGAACAGCTAAATTCAGTCTCATTCAGCATTCAGTGCAGGATTTGAGCACCTACTATGAGTCAAGTGGAAACTGTGTCAGGATGCCAAGGATGAGGAGAGAGATAGACAGATTATTATAATACAGTACAATAATAGCTCTAATTGTGTTTCCCTAGGGACAGTAGAGAGAGATGAAGGAAGGGCAGAAAAAGAAAAATATACTGGGGAAGAGCACTGGAGTTGGATCAGTGGGAGTGTATTGTATGACCAAGGGTTGAAGACGTTTCAAGGAGAGCCCCAGCATATACAAAGGCATGGAAGTATGAACATGGTAAATAAGCGAATACAGCTGCAGCGTACACTGGGGCGAGGGAGACGGGGGAAATGTGACTGAACAGGTAGACTAAGGGGATATTGGAAAGAGAGGTCTTGTGCAGGTTGCTAGGGTTTTATGTAGTGGAAGGCATAATACGAATTTCACAAGGTAACTTCCAGCAGTCTAGAAGATGGCTTGGAGGGAATAGAGACTAGAGGGAGAGGCCAGGTGAGTCAGTGGTGGTCATCCAAAGGAGAACAGGAGGGTGTGAATGCTGCCACTGGGCCCCTAGATGGATGAAATACTTCATAGATCATGAAAAATACAGGGTTGCAAAGCATGATGATTCTAATTACGTATTAACAATATAGATGCTTGGCCAGGTGTGGTGGCTCACACCTGTAATCCCAGCACTTTGGGAGGCCGAGGCGGGTGGATCATGAGGTCAGGAGATCAAGACCATCCTGGCTAACACGGTGAAACCCCGCCTCTACTATAAATACAAAAAATTAGCTGGGCATGGTGGCAGGTGCCTGTAGTCCCAGCTACTCAGGAGGCTGAGGCAGGAGAATGGCGTGAACCCGGGAGGTGGGGCTTGAGTGAGCTGAGATTGCGCCACTGCACTCCAGCCAGCCTAGGGGACAGAGCGAGACTCCATCTCGAAAAAACAAAAACAAAAACAAAAAAAAACAACCAAACAGTTGCTCCTCAACTTACAAGGGAGTTATGTCCAGGTAAACCCATTGTAAGTTGAAGATATCTGATGATGGGTTTACCTGGGCATAACCCCATCTTAAGGACTTGACTCAATGTGTATTGCTTTTGCAGTCTTGTAAGTCAATCAATCCTGAGTTGAGCCATTATTAAGTTAGGCACTGGCTGTAATTGTGTTCTTGTAGTGTACTACCCATTACCCAGGAGAAGTTGTGTTACATGTTCGTGGGGCCAAACTAACCTTTCTTCATAGAAACACTTTCCCTGCAGCTTTTTCTTTGAACCAGGTGGTTTGATTGAACCTGAGGACCTGGCAGAGTGGAAAGAGCATGGAGTGTGAAGTCATTTAGGGCTCATTGGGAATCTGGGCCCTTCTGCTCATTCATGTGTGATTCTGGGCCAGTCTCCTATCTTTTCTGAAACTTCATTTGCACTTTCTTCCACCTTAGTCATACATTCCACTGGTCCTATCTCAGATCTTTTTATCACCTCTAACTGCCCACCTCTAAAGTTTCAATTGCATAATCCATACACCCCACTCTGACCACTCCCTTTTGGCTTTTCACCTCATTCTCTTTACTACTTCCACTACAGAGGATCTTAGACCCCACTGAAACCTTCAATCCCTGACCCAGGTTAGGATAAGGTTAAACTGCTTTAGCTAAAAGACCCCACAATGCGGTGATTAAACAAGAGAGGAGTTTTTTTTTTCCCTCTCTCTCAGGTCACAGTGCAAGGCAGATGTTCAGAGTCAGTGAGTGGTTCTGCCACACACAGCCTGAAGGACCCAAGTGTCTTCCATCTTGTTTCTTTGCCATTCACTGTGGCATTGTCCTGAATTGAAATAGGGAGAGGATGAGTGTGGAGGAGACTCTCCATTAGGACCGCACATCACTCCCCTTCATGTTCCATTGAAGAGGTCCTCACCATATGGCCACTTAACAAGCAAGGGAGCTTAGGAAGTGTAGTGTGCCTGGCCAGCTGTGTCTTGTGTACTCTTGCATTCAGAAGAAAAGAGAATGAGTTTTGGTGGATCACTAGCCTTTGCTGGGATACCAGCATCTTCATAGCTGTTGTCTCCCCTCAGATCTTCTCTTCTTTCCTTATTCAGGCTAGGTTGCATGATCTAACACCATAATCACTCCCTTAACTTCCTTGCTGTTCTGCCTCCTTCATGCAGATTTTGAAAACTCTCAACTCCCTACATTTCTGTCTCTGAACAGCTGAAAATAACTGCAGAAAAACCATTTCTATTCTTAAATTCATGACCGCAGACTTAAAATGGGCACTCAAGATTGCTGAGCAATCCTTTCAGCATTGTAAGACTTTCCTTATTTGTTTACTTTCCAACTCTCTGAAATTGCTGTTTTGCACCTTTGCCTCTCACTTCAAAACCCCTCCTTCCTTCAGTAGGCCAGGCTTGGTGGCTCAGGCCTATAATCCCAGTGCTTTGGGAGGCCGAGGTACAAGGATTGCTTGAACCCAGTAATTCAAGGTTCCAGTGAGCCTCACTGTACTCCAGCCTGGGCAACAGAGTGACACCCTTTTTATTAAAAACACATTAAAAAACTTCTCCAATATCTCAGCTGGTCATCTTGCCACTTGGCAGAAATTGAAAGAATCAGGTGGGAACTCCCCTTTCTTTACCATGTTAGCTATGGCTTGCATCTGTACTTGTTCGCTGCCTTACCTCCTGTTGCAGCAAATGGAATATTCACTGCTTCTCTAAAAGGCAAGCCCCTCTACCTGTCCACGGGATCCTGTCTCCCTGTGGCTTTTCAAAAGACTCTGGTCTTTGTTCCTGCAATTATTTTCTCTGTCTTGCATCATATTTCTCTTGATAAATCATTTTTGTTGTTAGAAGATTTTTTGTCTTTAAAAAGTCCTGCTTTGACCCCTTATTCTCCTTTACTACTGCTCATTTCTCTGCTACCCTTCATAGCAAAACTTCTCAAAAGAGTTGTCTAAATTAAATGATTTCACTTCCCTGTGGCTCATTTCCTCAACCCACTCCAGAGAAGTTTCTGTCCCCACCACTCCTCTGAAACTACAGTTGTCCAGGTCACCAGTGATTTCATGTCGCCAATACAGTGGTCACCTCTAGTCCTTCTTTTCCTCAACCTCCCAATATTGGACATAGTTGATTTGTCTCTATAGCAAGAAATACTTGGTTCTCTTGTTTCTAGGACGGTATATGTTTTTTTTCCTGCCTTATTGATTGTTGCTTCTTGGTCCCCTTTGTTGGCTTCCCCTTGTTTGCATCTATTAAGTTGCTTTCAACTGCAAAACCAGAAAACCCAAAATTTCTGGCTTCAACAATAAGGAAATTTATTGTCTCACAGAATTGGAAATCCACATGTAGAGTGAATTTCAGGGTTGTATGCTCTAGGTCAGCAGTCCCCAACATTTTTGGCACAAGGAACTGGTTTTATGGAAGACAATTTTTCCACAGGTTGGGCACAGGGGAATGGTTTGGGGTGATTCAAGTGCATTACATTTATTGTGCACCATGTTTCTATTATTGTTACACTGTAATATATAATGAAACAATTATACAGTTCACCATAATGTAGAATCAGTGGGAACCCTGAACTTGTTTTCCTGTAACTAGACATTCCCATCTGGGGGTGTTGGGAAACAGTGGCAGATCATCAGGCATTAGATTCTCATAAGGAGCACGCAACCTAGATCCCTTGCATGCACAGTTCACAATAGGGTTCGTGCTCTTATGAGAATCTAATGAATGCCACCGCTAATCTGATGGGAGGTGGAGTTCAGGTAGTAACGTGAGCCGCTGTGAATACAGATGAAGCTTCACTCACTTGCCCACCGCTCACCTCCTGCTGTGCGGCCTGCTTCCTGACAGTCCATGGACAGGTATTGGTCCATGGCCCAGGGGTCAGGGACCCCTGCTCTAGGTAATCAGCCATGTCATCTGTGAGCCAGGTTCTTTCCTCCTCTTCCCTTCTGCCATCCAGAAAATCAGCTTCATCCTAAGGTGGATTCCTTTTTAAGTATGTTCATAGGGCACTGGATAGTGGAAATGTGGGATACGTGTTTCTTCACTGACATCCTCAAAAAAGAAATATTCCCGGAAATCTTTACCTCATTGTACCACTGACCTGAATTAAGACACGTGACATTCCATGCAGACTAGTTTTGGCCTAGGATTCTGGTCTCTAGCAAAGAGTATGGGACTATCGTGATTGGTTTAGACTGCTCAGGGGACATCCCTAGAGTGAAGTTGGATATG